GATACTTGGAACTCATACTCTGTTTTTGCCATAATAATATTTACCAGACGTTTAAAAAAAAAACTTTTTAAACTTTGTAAATCACAAAATATTCTTTAGTAAGAGTTGTAAATTTTTGAACAAATGATACCCTAATGTTAGCCATGCATTTATAAATATTATTATTACTGTCGTAGAACATACGAACAACATTTACGCAGAGAAGCTTAAGACCAAACTGGGGACCTGTGTTATGAACGCGTAACAAGAGCCTCTCGAGCCACACCAGCAACAATGGTGACACGGAGCACGGCCTGAGCACTAAGAGGTGAGAGGTTTGATTGGCAGAAGATTTGCCAAGTGGCTACATCTGAATGTTCCTCCTCCTCGGGTTCGACACGATGAGATATCTTGTACACTGTCTGAAGTTCCAGTAAAACTGTCCGTGCAGCCTCTCGGGATTCTGGGAGTTGGTCACTAAGCTGAGTCGCGGCTACTTGGACCAGTTTCTCGATTCCATATTCTCTAATACCTTCAATGCCCTGATCATAATATATAGCCAGAGAACAGTGATGTTGATGACAAGGAATGAATTTGAATGGTCATGCAAATGACATTGCATATTGAAGGGAACAGAGCAAGAGAATCGGTTATATAATATAAAGTGAAACTTTGATTACCAGCCGGGAAACACTTCGGGAAAAGCACAAGGATGCTTTTGCACGGATCCGAGGATTCCTATTCTTCAGACAAGGTTGAAGCTTTGGCAACAGCAAGTTAGGAGAAACATGTGTGGTCATCGCTACTAATGCTTTTTCGGCTGCCTCGCAAACAAATCGCTTGTCTTGAGAAGATTTAAGAAGGAGTTGAGTAAGCTGGAAAAAAAAACGGAATTTGATATTACTATTATAAGAACAAGTAAGTGTTTCCGCTATTTGAGGGGGATTCCAAGATTAGTTGCAACAGATGATTACCAGGGGATCCAATTGATCGATTATATGGTCGTTATACGAGCTGAAGATGTCTGCAGATGTCATACATGCTGTTTTACTTACAGCACTTCTTGGGTTCTTCAATGACTTCACGACTAGCGGGATCACTTCCTCCCTGAAAAAGCTGACTTCGTGAGACTAGAAAATATCTGTCAAAGTGCAAGTCAAACTACTTCAAGTGATAATAACATCATAAGAACGAGCACAGAGAATATGACTTACACCATATGTAGCATATCTTCCTTGTGGTATACTGAAAGACGGCGAACAATATTAAGAGCACCACAGACCGAAACCCAATCCTTGGAGTCTAGTCCAGTAAGAAGTGACTGGAATATAAAACGAAAGATAATCGTCACGAAAACATCTCACATCCACAATAGTACTAGGTAAAGCACCTCACTTCCAAACTCCAAACAGATGAACAAAATTGCATCGCAACATTGCAAATGAGAATTTACAGTAAGGCATGGTTTAATAATACCTTCAGAGCTGCATCAACATCGGTTATGTTGTTCAAGTCTTCGGATTCAATATACTCAATTTCTATAACAACTCCTCTCTCTGCCTCGGGTTTCTCTATCTCAACGGCATTTGGATGATTGTGATCCAAGGATACAGATTGTTGTGGTGGTCTATCTTCAGCTTTTCCATTCATTTTTCCAACACAAGGCTTAGTTAAGCCTGCTTTACAGTCTAAATTCCTCTCAGATACATGAAGATTCTTCAAATCTATTAAAGCTTTAGCAGCCATATGATAGAGTCGAGTTATCTCTCTACCTAAGAAGCATAAAGAATTCACCTTTAGAAGCAAAAACAACACTTGTTCAATCAAAATATAACATGGAAATCAACAATTGTATCTACATTAGCTCACACAAAATCTCATGACAATAACAATGGATCAATGGTATTATCACTTCACCAAACACAAAAAAACTCTATAGTGAAATTGGTTTGATCCTACTTGTAATTCTATGCAAATTCAACAGCAATAACATATAAAGAGCAGAGATCTACTACATTTCTAAGGCAACTTTCAAGCAATTACGAAATTAACACAAGTAAAAAACATAAGTAAAAAACCTCGATCTCACTGAAAAACTCTCAGAAAATCTCAATAATCCCAACGAATCCTCGAAATTCCAAATCCAACTCCGGCGAATCACTCGCCGTAACCTTCTACAACAGCGAAAATATCGAGAAACCCAGAAAATGACGAAAAATGGAGATGGAAATAGTGCCCGCGAATCAAGCAGTGTCGATGAGTAAAGTAATAACCTGGAAGAGTAAGACTGAAGATCAGTTGAGTCGCGTACCTACACTCTCTGTACATAATCGAAATGCCAAAGGAGAGAGTCGAAGAAGACGAAACTAATCACCGGCGAAGAACAGTTTCGCAAGTATAGTAGACTCGTCGTAGTCGTACTTAGGGCTGAAAATTTAGAATACCCATTAGCCGATCCGACTTTAACGGGTATTTAAAAAACAATACCCTTCAAAAATCGGATATCCTATAAAATGGACATCCAGCAAAAATAGATATCCGCCGGATACCCGACTTGTTACCTTTACCTGCTCAATTATAATATAATTTATCTAAATTAAATTTAAACAACTTGTATACAACAAAAATGGAGGTGTTATTACGAAAAGAAAAAAAATCTCTTAATAGACAACATATATAGTTCATAAAATATAATATTACAAAATTTGATACTTAAAATTTGTAATCTATTATCTCCAAAATTATCGATGATACTCCAAAAACACAAATTATTGACGTTGTGAGTATTTATATTGTGCTATATATTATACAATTTATTTTATAAATAAGTTTACCAAATATTAGTGATATAGAATACGGGTATTTTTGGATCGGATAGCAAATCGAGTACGAGGACGGATAACGAGACGGGTAGTGAAAAAAAAATATGATACCTTTTACCTGACCCTTATTCGTAGGTATCAAAATTATAGTATCCTTTACCCGACTCGAAAGTTACGATTACTCTATTTTTCGAAGGGGTACAAGCCGGATAACGGCTAAAAGACGGATAACGGATATTTGTGTCCAGCCCTAATCCTACTCGTTTTGAGAGTTCAAAGACGAAGTCGCTTTATGCATGGGACCCATATGTACGGCATTATATATTAGTTTTTAATTATTGGTATTTTTTAGAGTTTATATACTACATGTAATTTCTCAAAATATCCTCGACTTAGAAATGGAATTTCCAAATATTTTATCATTTCTGTAAATGATTTGTGATTCTTGATTTAGCACTTATCACCCTAACAAATGTAGATTCGTTAAAATATAGAAAATATCAACCCTCGAAAATAAATAGTATTGTTTGTGAGTAGTTCATCTAGTTAACACATTGATGTACGAATATCTTTTTGTTGGAATTTGTTTTTTTTTTTCTTGATATATGTCTAATTGATCTCACCCAATATGTGTTTCTATTGAATATCAGTTGGTTTTTTCCTATCTCTTAGCGTTTCCTTGTCATATTTCTATTTCTTAATTATAATAGTTAAAACCATGATTAGTGAAGAGGAAGAAGAGTTCACAACATAGCTGATAAAGAGTCCTTGTGTTCCTACAATTTTGATTTTGTCTGTCAGTTCGAGTTATATTTTTCAAAGTCGCTCCACTAATTGAATCACTCAGATATAGCTGGTTTCACTAATTAAAGTCTAAATTACCTTGTGACTA